CTACACCGTGCACAATGTACAATATCAAAGACTCCACTTGGGTAGGGAAGTCTTTTGGTACCCATGACAGCAGATATAGCAGGAATTCCTCTTTCAAGTGCAAACTGAACCTGAGCTTCATGTTCGTCTTTTGGAGCAAATGACATAGCTAATACATCTCTTTCAAAAAGAAAGCCTCCAAAGCTGGCAACCCCACAACCAACATCTAATATTACACGAGTACGTTTTCCCCATGCAATGTCAGGCAGAGACTGCAGCAACAATGCAATGATTTACATAACAATGTCATTCGTGCTTTAAAATTCTTTTATTGTGTTTCTGGTGTTAAAAACCTAGTTTTCTTATCATTTCCCTTCAAGAGCTTACACTCATTATTGTGCTATCAAAATTTTACGTAAGCACCGAATAAGAAATGAAACAAAAGCTTCATGCCATTATACACCGATAACGATGAAATGCTCTGAGTTAGATCCCAAAGGGAGAGGACATTCAGCTTTTGAAATGTAACAAATGGTACAAGTTCTAACTTCGTAAAAATTATATTTCACATGGAATCATCAACAGTTAGACAAGAAGAAACTTGAGCCGAAGATTTGTCTTACTAGCTATCCATGTTCGAGTGCTTTTCAGACCCCTACACTTCACTTCTTATTCTCTTGGATTGAATTACATCATATTAACAAAAAATGGCCACTTAAGACCTAGAGTTATGAATTACTTGTAGATGCCAACCTGTTGTAGGAAATCAATATAATGAAGAGCACCATGCTTAAACTGGGTTCCACCGCCAGGGAAGATAAGGTATTCACCACTAAATTTAACCCAATTTTGATGTCCCTTAACCTCTGCAAGCTTTGTGTGTGGAACATTATGGTACCATATCTGCATGTAGAGAAGATTCGCATGTTCAATTATTCTAAGATGATTATTTAACAATAAGAGAAAATCAAAAATAAATTTGAGGAATGGCATAGCACTACCTTTTCCCGGCTTGTAGGCCACTCAATTGGGCGTTTATATCCTTCTGGAAGTGGAACAAGGCAAGTTGGAGAACTTTCAGGACAGTGTCTCTCCCTGTGCTCATAATGCTTAGTACTTCTGAGATGCTTAATGGCATCCAGATTGTCAAGACAAGGGATGTAATCGGGGCCAGCAGTGACATTGCAGAGCTTCCAACTATTCCATTTCTCCTTATCCAATCCAGAAGACTTGAATCTCCTTTTCATTCTTTGATTCTGTTGCCTGAGTTGAAAATGCCCCATTCTGTGTCGTAGTTTCATTCAGAAGCTCAGACTGAGATCCTGAAGGAAAAACTTCATTTGAAGATTCCTTTTTCTCATCAGAAGCATCCTGATCCTTTTTGTCTTCCTTATCATCTATTTTACTATCTTCTTTGTCACCTTCTTTTCTCTCACCGGTGCTTTCTTCTGTGGTTTTCTCAGCATCAACTACATCAGACGTGTTCACATCAGAGCCTTCTCCCGCAGATTTGCTTTCAGTGCTCCCCCCTTCTTCAGACTTCTTATCATCAGGGTTCAACTCTCCATTTTCTTTCTTTTCTTCTCCATTTTCAGTCTGACTCTTGGATTCATCTTCAGACTGTGGTTCATCTTTGTTTTCACCAGGTTTCTCTTCTGTATAAAGTTTCTGATTTTCTTCTGCAGTTTTCCCGATATCTTGGGAACCAGAATTCTTTTCTTCTGGAGTTGCAACATCCTGTTTAGTTGCTTCGTCAGGTAGATCTCCAGGAGCATCCTCAAACTGTTTTGATTTCAAATTCTCTATATAGAGACTCAAAAGGGTCAATAACATTATCCCTTTTTTCTCCCATTCTATTAAATGCTCATAATAATAACTACTCTCATATAAAAAACAACTAAAGTAATACTCCATGAGAATTTTAAAATTCTCAATCTTAAAGCATGGATGGTAACACCCCAACCCGCGTAACCCGAACCAACGAGTTATTGAGTCGGGTTACTACTAATTTGGTATTCACATGCATAATATTTTGAAAACATTTAAAATAAAACATACATTATATTTAATTAAAAACAATTCATAATTAATCGGAGTAAATAATTCAAACGTTGCGGAAGCTTTTAAAACAACAACGTCAAACATTCTTGTAGTTTAAACAAAACAAAAGTCAACAAGTATTTAATTCGATTTCAAACAGCATTGGGCCATCCACCAGCGTCACGCTTCACTGTTCTCCAGGCTGCCCCTCATTCAGTCCTTGATCTATACCTGTAAAAAATATAGGGAGAGTGGAAGTATCTAACGCTAGAACTAACTCATAGACTAGCACCAACCAATATATAACCACACAATATCAGAAAAATTAGCAAATATCATTGCCGAATAACATGATCAACTATCTACTTATCTATGTTCAGTTCTTGTTATTCTTCTACACTTAACCCTATAGGCTAAGGTTCCATTTGACTAACTAAGTCGTGGACACTCGGACGGATCCCCCTACAAATGAATCCCTAGGTAGGCTAGTGACTCCCGTACGTATGTTTTTAACCCAAGACCCGTGAGTTATGCGAAGCTCGCCCCACCAGGCATAAATCCTAAATCTTAATCCTTATGAATTCAGTTTAAGGGGCTGTTTGTTTCAGCCTCTTAATGGTTCAGATGTCTGAATGGTTCAGCACTTAATGGTTCAGACTGTTTGTTTCAGCCTCTTAATGGTTCAGATGTCTGAATGGTTAAGAGATTTGCCTCTGAATGGTTAAGTATTATACAGAGTCTGAATGGTTAAGACCTCTTATCTGAATTGATCAGACATTTGCCTCTGAATAGTTAAGCAATATACTAGCTCTTAATGGTTCAGACCTCTTACTGGTTCAGCACTTAATGGTTCAGACCTCTTACTG